TGTAGCCGATTTTATACGTCACTATGGCTTGCAGCAAGTTCAGGAAGAACACTGTAAGCAGAAGTGAAGTGACGTGTCCTGTGATGCGATGGATCGGTGGTTCGATTACGAGAGCGGGCACGCCTGGTGCGAAAGCGCCTACAAATATCAAACTGTTCCTGTTATTGCGGAATTTGCTAATACTGTTAGTTCCTCTTTTAAATTTTTTTCATCCGACAAAGACAGCACTCAAAGACTCTTTGCAGCAGGGCTTGTTTCCACTTCAATTATTTTTTTTTTCGGCAATGAATCACAACGGTTATTAGGCGTCTCGATGGGTGCTCATATAGGCATACCTCTGCTGCCAATCTTAAACTGACCCGAAATGTGCAAAACATGCCGGAGTGCGCCAGTCCAGCTGGACAAAATTGTGCCAGACAAAATGATTTGGAATACGTTATTAATCTTTGGTTGCAGAATACAAGAGAGGTGCGTTTTGGAATAGGTCTGTGTGACTCTTTCGATACGCTCATGCGTGGTGACAGAATCTTATTGGTAGTTCACGTTAAGAATAAAAAGTTGTGCCTTTTGCAGGTGACAAATTTGCCAATTATTGTGCTGCCTCTGTTGAATATTCTGCTGATCCGGCCATACATCGAGAATGTAAACTGGCTCGTCATGCTGCCCCACATGCTTCTCACTCTCAATGGCATCGCATCCACTTATTACCACGCTACTCTCAATCTTTTTGGTATCATTTTCCCCATGACTTCCGGTTTTTTGGCTTTAGAAGTCCAGTATCTTAGAAATTTTTGTACTATTAATTCTTAACACTTAAGAGGGCTGTGTGGATTTTTACACTTCCTCTTACGTGCGATAGTTATTATGGAGCAGCGCAGGTAAGCCTACTGCAGTTACTATTGCAGAATGAAAAGAAGATGGCAGCCAGAAAGCATTTGATATATTTATCCAGCATTCTCCCTGGAAAACGAAAGTAAATAATTGGCCAACGCACGGGCTGCCCGTGCGAAGATGCGTTTTTTGCATGGTTCCCCGCAGT